GATAATGCAGGTAACTGTCAGAGAGGATGATGCAGGTAACTCACAGCGAGGAGGGCACAGGTAACTGTGGCAGCGAGGAGGGCACGGGTAACTCACAGTAAAGATAATGCAGGTAACTGTCAGAGAGGATGAGGCAGGTAACTCACAGTGAGGAGGACGCAGGTAACTCACACAGGAAGGCGCAGGTAACTCTGACAGTAAAGAGAACACAGGTAACTCACATGGTGAGGAAGTTGCAGGTAACTCACAGTGAGGAGGATGCAGGTAATTCACAGCAAGGAGGATACAGGTAACTCACAGCGAGGAGGATACAGGTAACTCACAGGAGAATGTAGGTAACTCACATTGAGGAGGACACGGGTAACTCGAAGCGAGGAGGACACAGGTTAACTCACAGCAAGGAGGACACGGGTAACTCACGGGGGCGCAGGAAACTGTCACAGCGATGAGGGTGCAGGCAACTCACACAGTGAAGAGGAGCAGGTAACTCACAGTGAGGAGGACACAGGTAACACACATGGTGAGGAAGGCGTAGGTAACTTCACAGTGAGGAGGACGCAGGTAACACACACGGTGAGGAAGGTGTAGGTAACTCACAGGAGAACACAGGTAACTCACAGTGAAGAGGATGCAGGTAACTCACACATTGAGGAGGACGCAGGTAACACACATGGTGAGGAAGGCGTAGGTAACTTCACAGTGAGGAGGACGCAGGTAACACACACAGTGAGGAAGGCGTAGGTAACTTCACAGTGAGGAGGACGCAGGTAACACACGGTGAGGAAGGCGTAGGTAACTCACAGGAGAACGCAGGTAACTCACAGTGAAGAGGATGCAGGTAACTCAGTGAGGAGAACGCAGGTAACACGGTGAGGAAGGCGTAGGTAACTTCACAGTGAGGAGGACTCAGGTAACACAGTGAGGAGAACACAGGTAACACACACAGTGAGGAAGGCGTAGGTAACTCACAGGAGAACGCAGGTAACTCACAGGAAGACGCAGGTAACACGGTGAGGAATGTGCAGGTTAACTCACAGTGAGGAGGTCACAGTTAACTCACAGTGAGGAGGACGCAGGTAACTCACAGTGAGGAGGACGCAGGTAACTCACAGTGAGGAGGACGCAGGTAACTCAGTGAGGAGGACACAGGTAACTCAGGAGAATGCAGGTAACTCACAGGAGAAAGCAAATAACTCACAGTGAAGAGGATGCAGGTAACGTGCTGAGGAAGGCGCAGGTAACTCACAGTGAGGAGGACACAGGTAACGTGCTGAGGAAGGCGTAGGTAACTCACAGTGAGGAGGACACAGGTAACTCACAGTGAGGAGAACTCAGGTAACTCACAGGAGAACGTAGGTAACTCACAGTGAGGAGGACGCAGGTAACTCACAGTGAGGAGAACGCAGGTAACTCATAGTGAGGAGGACGCAGGTAACTTACAGGAGAACACAGGTAACTCACAGTGAGGAGGACACAGGTAACACGTGCTGAGGAAGATGCAGGTAACTCGCAGTGAGGAGGACACAGGTAACTCACAGTGAGGAGGATGCAGGTGACTCATGAGGAGGGTGCAGGTGACTCACAGTGAGGAGGGTGCAGGTGACTCACAGTGAGGAGGGTGCAGGTGACTCACAGTGAGGAGGGTGCAGGTGACTCACAGTGAGGAGAACGCAGGTGACTCACAGTGAGGAGGACGCAGGTAACTCACAGTGAGGAGGACGCAGGTAACTCACAGTGAAGAGGACGCAGGTAACACATGAGAAAGGCGTAGGTAAGTCACAGTGAGGAGGGCGCAGGTAACTCCCAGTGAGGAGGACGCAGGTAATACACATGGTGAGGAAGGTGCAGGTAACTCACAGTGACTAGAACTCAGGTAACTCAGTGAGGAGGGCACAGGTAATTCACAGTGAGGAGGATGCAGGTAACTCACACAATGAGGAGAACGCAGGTAACTCACAGTGAGGTGGACACAGCTCACTCACAGTGAGGTGGATGCAAGTAACTCACAGTGAGGTGGATGCAGGTAACTCAGTGAGGAGGATACGGGTAACTCACAGTGAGGAGGATGCAGGTAACTCCCACAGTGAGGAAGACACAGGTAACTCAGGAAGGCAGAGGTAGCTCACAGTGAGGAGGGTGCAGTAACTCATTGAGGAAGACGTAGGTAACTCACAGAGGAGGATGCAGGTAGCTTTCAGAGCAAGGAGGACTCAGGTAACTCTCACAGTGAGGAGGGCGCAGGTAACTCTCACACTGAGGAGGACGTAAGTAACTTAGCAAGGAGGATGCAGGTAACTCAACAGTGCGGAGAACACAGGTAACTGACAGTGAGGAGGACGCAGGTAACTCACAGTGAAGAAGGCACAGGTAACTCCCAGCAAGGACAACACAGGTAATTCACAGTGAGGAGGACGCAGGTACCTCACAATGAGAAAGGTACAGGTGACTCACAGTGAGGAGGACACAGGTAACTCAGAGCAAGGAGGGTGGCAGGTAAATGTCAGAGTGAGGATGCAGGTAACTCTCACAGGAGGGCACAGGTAACTCAGTGAGGAGGATGCAGGTAACTTACAGGAGGATGCAAGTACCAGATGAGGATACAGGTAACTCACACAGTGAGGAGGACACGGTTAACTCAGAGCGAGGAGGGCATGGGTAACTCACAGTGAGGAGGACCCAGGTAACTCTCACAATGAGGAGGGATAGTGCAGACTGATCACCTAAACTCTTGGGTGGCATGGCCACCCACTCACCATCTCTTTGGGGGACCTCCAAATGGCACAGGGTCCGACAGAATTAGAAGGCACCCTGGGACTTCTGGAGACCACAGTGACACGCCTTCTGTGGTGGTGAGCCTGTCCCACCCATGTGGCTGAGCATAGCAGGAGCAGAGTTCTCTAGACCCCCTCAGTGTTAAGGTCGTTCTCTATGCCCTTGCGCTGGTTAAGAGGCTTTAGGACTTGATTAAATTTTCATGGAAGTCTGACTTGGCATTGTAGATGTGCTCTTGAGGCAGGCTGAAGTGTTTTCTTGTGTTTGTGTCCAGTGCTCATGGGACCACGTGCTGGGGAGGCCATCCTGGCATAGCCAGGCTCCAGGTGATGTGTGTGTGCGTGTGTGTGTTGGGTCTACACGCTAGCCCTCCCCACACGCCTGTGCAGCCTGCCGTGGCTGAGCATGTCGTCTTCACCCCATTCCCTGCGAGCAGACAAGGGGCCCCCACCGGTGGAGCACGATGAGAGCTACGCAGATTACCTGCCCAGGATGGAGCGGTACTGGGTGGTACGGGCCCATGAGAGCCTGGGCCCTGACGCCAAGGAGAAGAATGTGCTGAGAACAGCCCATGCAATGGCAAAAACATTTTTCAATGACTCGGTTCCGGATGCTACCCTGAGGCAGAAGTCAGATTGAATAACGTGTATGGAATTCCCTTAGTATCACTGGGTGTTTCAGAAAATAAACTGGACTGGTCACGAGGTGGCTGCAAAGATGGTTTTGTACAGCGCCAGTTCCACCAGCATTCCTGGTGGTTGAAGCTTCACCTCCTGTGGGGAGCCTGTGCAATGTGGAAGCATGGGGCAGCATCAGTCCACGCAGGGACTGGGTGGAGGGTGGCAAGGCCTTGCCTGAGAAGAGCCCGCAGGAAGGGGCTTTTTATGCTATCACCTCACTGTGCTGTGCTTCGTATGCATGTGGAGGGGGGATGTCTTTCTGAGAACAAGGAGTTTTTACAGAAGAATGTTCTGCTCAACCACACATCATCACCCTGGAGAGTCTCTTTGGTTTCTAAAAATTAGCAAAACATGTTCCTAGTGACGTTTAAATAAAGTATCTTTCGGCTGGGCTAGTCTGCTCCTTCTCTGCTGCTTGGCTTTGCTCTCTGGGTATCACGTGGAGTGTTCTTGGATGTTGGGTTACCAGGCTCCTTGGGACTCCTTCTCCCAGTTTACCCTTGTTGGGAGAAAGTGGGGAAGTCATTTTTCTAGTCCTTCCCCTTGCGCTTAAGGCTGTCCACATGCAGCACTGCCTGGCCAAGCCAGGCTGTTCAGGTGGGAGCTGTGATGTGTTAACATGCCGAACGCACCTGCCCAAGGCTGATGACCGAAGGCTGCTTCCATTTGCTTAATTGAGGTCAAAAGTCAGGCTGTGAGGTCATACCTGGTGTGATTTTTTTGTCCCTTTCGTCTTACCCAGTGAGAGTGTAGATATTCTTAGTTTTCAATTATGGGGCAGATAAAACTGCAGTCAACTCCATTGATTACCTTGAAGTTTATTTAAAAAAAAAAAAAAAGGCATCCTTTGGCCAAAGTAAGAGAAGAGTGGGCATGCCCACTTCCTGGCAGAGGGCTCGGGCCTATGGAAGCTTTAATGGGGTGTGGACAAGACACTGATTTGCTCCACCAAACCCCTGTCCTCATGGTGCTAGAATGGCCCAGAGTCAGTGTCACCTAGAGCCACCCCCACTTACCTGAAACCCATGGCTGGGTGGTCTGAAGGGCCAGAGGCAGCAAAAGTCCAGACTCTTCTGAGAATAGTCTCCCAAGAAAAGCCAGTCCTGCCTGTCTGCAGCAGCAAGTCCCGAGCCCTCCTGCGTGTGGTCCAGGCATCGAGTGATGGGTGCCCCCCACCAAGGTTGTGGGGCTCTGGTCATGGTGAGAGAGGCAAGTCAACTGTCACTCAGTAGCAGCACTGGCCGCCTGCCTGGGACTTACACAACGGTGTGCAGTCTGTACCAGTGGATGCAGATGGGTGGTCATCAGGTTTAACATCTTTATCTGTGGTCCCTTCCCTCGAGTGCTGGGTGGTCAGCATCTTTTTCTATAAATGTTCTGGACTGAGTCCAGCTGGAACATCATGAGGCAGGGCTGAGAAGTTGGGGTAAATGCAACAGTTGGCCCACGTGCCTGGCCACAGAGGCCCTTGCAGAACTCGAGGCGTTCCACTGACACCCCCACCACCCCCACCCACCCTGCCTACTCCTAACCTCAGGACTTAGGCTGGGTATCTGCTGCTTTTGGAGGAAGGAACTAGAAAATCTGTTGGCACCGACACAGTTGTCTGATGTCAGAGCCGCCTGTAACTGGATGTGATTTGAGGGAAGAAGATAGTTTTGAATCAACCAAGTTGAAAGACATTTTTAAAAAACCCAGGTAACAGACAAGTCTTTGTGCTTTGCTGCTATGCCCACAGGCTGGTGGTAAAGATCCTGTTTGGGTGAAGGAGGCCGATCAGAGCCAGTGAGGATTAAATGAACAGGCTTCCGGAACGTGAGCCGCCTCTGCTATTTAATTTCCATGATGAAAACACCAGTAAAGGCGTACCTTAAATGCAGAGCAGCAGGGGAGAGGTAAAAATACGACGTAGGACTGGGAGCCCTAAGAATAGCCCCAGCGGCGCCCTGCTGGGGAGTGGAAAGCACGCTGCTGCCATCTCTGCCAGGACTGGGTGCTGGTAAGCGCACTTGATGCCCGGGCGGTCGCTGTGGGAATGAGGGACAGCAAGAAGCCGGAGGCAAGCTGGGAAGCGGCTCTGTCCAATGTCGGGATAGGTGCGGTTGGATGTCACGGTCCTGCCTCGGTCCTGGGTTTGGTGATTTGTTGATGTTAAGCCCACCCCTACCTCCAGCCCATTTGACAGGTTCTGCCCTTTTTCTTCTTGGTGCCTGTAAATTGGGCCATACCATGCCCTGTGGACACTCCACCGGAGGTGGCCAAGCAAAGATTGGTGGGTGGGAGCAATTTGAGCTGCTCACTTGACCACAGACCCATGGCCGCTTGGAGGGTGACATGAGACCCAATGACTGATGAAATTCTCTATCCCCTGCCTCCCAGGAGTGGCCGAGCCCACTGGGTCAGCCATGTGGTATTAAGGTGCACGCTAAGGGGTTGTCTGCAAGCACTGGTATTTTAGGGGTTGGGTCGAGCTAAGTAAAAATCAGGGGAACCACCAGTTAAGCTTGGGAATCACCATCATTCAGTGTGATTGGCCTTTTTATTTTTTAGAGGTGATGATGGTGTTTATTGCAATTGGACACTACAGATTTCTTGACTGAATTGGCATAAGCAGGAGATCAGTAGCTAGGTCACAATTAAAAATAGGTTTAGGGACCAAATATCAGAAGAAGGGGCCAGAGAACTCCTATCCATGAGAGATGATCTCATTAACATGTTCCCATCTGGTGCTGGAGAGGGTCCTCCAGAGCCTTCCCATGTGCGACCAGGAGCTCGTGAGCATGACAGGAGAGTCAGGCTTGGACAACACTGCTCAGGGGTGCTGAAAGGAGGACAAGGAACACGGTGTTGGGCTGGCAGTTCTAATCAGAGGAAGATAGCTGGAGGGTGATCATTGTTTCCAGCAGGAAGGAAGTGGCCAGGCTGCAGCCTGACTTGCTGATGTTGACCTGGCCCCATCTCCTGGTTCTGTGCACACTGCTGGAGCTCTGTAATTATTACAGATGTAAAATCAGGCAGCAAAGCTGCGTGTTGGCCCAGGTAGCCCTAATTATAGATGGCAGTCGTTTTTATTACTGTTTTACAAAGCATCTCGGCAGTGCCATCCTGGCCCGGGCTGAGCCTGGTCACTGAGAACTGCACCCGGTGTCCCGAAGGCCCACAAGCTACCACCAGGACCAACCTGCGTGGCAGTGGCTACAGATGCTGGCCCCAAGGGTTCAAGCCGATGTTTTCCTCATTTCAATTCCAATAGCTCTCTGGGTACAAGCCATCAGGTGTTCAAGAGGCCACTGCTAGGTGGCAGCTGGTGGGTCTGGCACCTAGGGGTGGGAGCGCAGTGAGGACTGTGGCCTTTCCTGAGTAGTGCCAGGGCCAGCATCTTGAGTAGGGAAGGAGCTGGGCAGGGGCTTGGCTCAGAGAAGGCAGGGATGGGTGTTTGTAAGCTCTCCTGTGGAGGTGGGACTTGGAGAGAGCAGGGTCTATGGCAGGGAGAGCTGCTCAGGCAGGAGGAACACATTAAAAAAGACTCATTGAAAGGAAAGATGTTGAGTGATCACCCCCTGAAAAACATAAACATTGAAGCTTACAAAAGTGAAAACCAGAAAAAAAACCCACTGCTGTCTAATCAATTCCTACTCACAGTGACCCTGTAGGACAGAGTGGCAAAAGCAGACTGCCACATCTTTCTCCCTGGAGCAGCTGGTGGGTTCCAACTACCCATCTTTCAGTTAGCAGCAGAGCACTTAACCACCTGTGCCACCAGGGTTCCTCCAAAAGTGAAAAGAGGTTTTTTAAAAAAAAAAACATATTTTGAGGCACTTGAGGGCAAAGCCTGTATGTGAGGTTCGTCTTTTCTGTCCTCCGTCAGCTCGGTGTGGACCATGAATACTGTGGCTATGCTGCACGTTAGCGCTGAAGGGGACATGCTAGGCCTTGTCTGCCCTCGCCCACCATCGTCTGCTTATAGGTGAGAAACCAGAGGCCCCAAGAATGAGTTACAGTCACCACCTGGAGAGAGAATGAAAGCTGTCTAATTATGGGAAATGCTGGCAGTGGGGAGGTGGTGGGCGTATTTCTGAATTATGTTCTTGGTGTGTGTCCTCCACAAAAGTCAGTAAGACCCTCCAGACACTACAGAGTCGCTGGTAGGTGACATCAGCTCAGTTCCTTAAAAAGAAATTTGTCTTTTCTCCATCTCGCAATTTTGGCAATGGAAGGAGCTTCTTTCTGGTAGAGAAACGAATTTATAATGAGATGATACAAGTTTTCCAAAGTTTTAAACAAGGTTGTTTATTACTAAAGTGAACGAGATTTTTCTTGAATCTCTTACTGTTCAGTAGTGAAATATATAGTAATGGTATGATTTTAACAGTCACATTCATTGAAGAAAATTATTTTATTTCCAAGCTATTTTTCTACTTAAAAGAAAAGGAAGAAGGCCGAAGTAACTTTTTTAGCCTTTATCAGTAAGGAAAACTAGATTATAGTCAACATTCCCTTTTTTGCCAATGTACAAAATAATTGCACCGTATCAGCGAACAATTTACAGTCACCAGGAAAAAAAAAGTGATAAAAGAAAATACAGATCGAGACTGTTCTACCTTAGAATTCACAAGAAGGCATCTACATCAGGGTTAGTGGTTTCATGTCTAGAGTGAGGGCAAGTTTTCACATGTTGCTTACCCAAATGGTGAGGGGTTGTGTGGAGTTTTTGTTTACTTCAGTCAGGCTATGTCAGGTAGTGTTTCTTTGGAAATGGATGAATGGTGCCAATAAGCAAAGTCTAGGTAACTTAGAAGTTCAGTCTAGTTCAATGTGCAGGCGGGTTCTGGCAGGTTAGGTGTCCTAGGTGCACCAGTGACGGAGTAGGACTGTCTGCATGCGTGGGGAAGGAGCCAAGCCACAGTATAAACTAGGAGATGCCTGGCCCCTCAATTCTGCAGCCTTGGGCCCAATTACCCCCAGGACCCGGGGGGTGAAAGTGCAGGTTCCAGCTGTGCTGACTGTGGCAGTGACTTCAGAGCTCCAGGGAAGAAAAGCTGAGGTTCCCAAGCTGGACTCAAAGGGTCAGCCATCAGGTGTGCTCACATGGCGGTGGAGGGAAGTGCTCTGGCAGGGTCTTGGAGAAGGCCTGCAGCAGGCCCTGCCCACAGATGGGCTCACCACACCTCTCCTCCTATGCCTTCACCCTTGTCTTCTTAAGCCTAATCACAATATTTGGAAAACCATACTGGGTATTTGAAGAATTGACATCCTTCCTAGCTAGTTTTCTACATTTTTTACACTCGGTATGGTATGTTGTTGTTGTTAGGTGCCGTCGAGTCGATTCCAACTCATAGCGACCCTACGTACAACAGAATGAAACACTGCCCGGTCCCGCACCATCCT